CCACTGTCTCCCGGATCTCTTCGGCTGCTTTAGAATCCGCAACTGTCTCCCCGATATCTTCGGCCGCTTCGGAATCGATAACTATTGTCTCCAGGATCTTCTCCGAGACAATTACGGTCAATGGTGATGCCAGCGTCTTGTTTACATCTTCGGGTGTTCCTTCATCTCTTGGTCAACTCACCACCCCAGAGATATTGTCAACATCGAACGCTGTCGAGCCAGGATCAAGCACAGTCGCCGCCGCCTCCACTGCACAAGAAAATGCCGCGTCTACGAGCCAAGTTGTCACTCCAGATGTTGCTCCGTCGCCTTCAACGTCCCAGTTCGTCCCACCAGGACAGAGCACTTCAGGATTGCCTGTATTTACAAGCGCCTTGGAACAACCAGTTAGCGCACAGCCAACCGAAGTGTCTCAGTCACTGAATACCCGAACGTTCTGGGAATCAGTATCGTCAACACCTACAGCAACAGACTTCTCGAGCCAGAGCGCTATATACAGCAGTCTCATGTCCTCCGCAACTGCCTCGAGTGTCTCCTCGAGCGTTGCCGCGATATACACAAGTATTTCGGTCAGCAGCTCCATGGCAGATGTTACATCTACTCTCTCATCCCTGGAGAGCTCCCAGAGCGCCCTCTCATCGATGGTATCAAGTATCTCGGCCTCTCTGAGTTCAGCCGTACCAAGCTCGATTGCCGCAAGCATCTCCTCGCTCGAATCTGCTAGCCAGAGTGTGTTTCTGGCTTCATCATCGCTTTCGGCCTTGGTCAGCTCCCAAAGTGCTTCGGCATCAGAGTCACCGGCCGTCACAAGTCTGGCCTCATCATCTCTCTCGGCCCTTCAGTCCTCTCAGAGCGCGTATTCATCCGCCCTGTCGACCATGACCGAGTCCTTGAGTTCAGCGATCCCAAGTCAAGTGATCTCAAGCTTCTCCTCAATTTTGTCCGCCAGCAGTTCCATCGCAGAGTATGCATCGTCGCTCTCAGCTTCTGCCTCTTCGGCAAGCAATAGCATTCTCCAGAGCACAACGGAGTACCAGTCATCGACAGCATCCGCCTCATACAGCCTCACGTCAACCCTCTCATTCATTGAGACTGTCACAACTGACGCGAGCGGCACATCGATCACGGGTACTGCGACACAGACTGTTGTCTTCTCGACTACTGTGCCAAGCGTAAGTATAAGTGAGAGCGGGTCAGCATCGGTGGTCTCCAGCAGTGAGTACAGCACTCTGTTGCCGTCGCCGAGTGTTTCGAGTGGAGAGTTTACTGGTATATCCTCATCTTTACTTGC